ACGTTTTTCTTCCACTCCATTTTTATGTAAAGTGGCCATGAAATCGGTTAGGGATCTTGACATCCGGAATTGTATTTCCAGTTCTCGGCCAGCAAAAACCAGAGCATCCTGTCACGATAAGTTTTTTTTTAATTATTATTACTACCGCAATGTTTTAAAAAAATATATTTATTACAATTACCTGATGCGTTATTGGAATAAGTCCGAAAAGTCTGGTCGCTTTTGTTGGTCCCCATTCGCCACTGGCACAATCGGGCAAGGGTACCATAACGGTTTGTAATTCGTCGCAAGATATTTTAAATTTGCAAACGCTTTTAAATTTCATGGGTTCACCTGTTAAATATTCTTTCGGAGTTACGGCATTTGCAAATATATCAAGTAAAAAACTTCCGCTGCAAGGTGCGTGTACCCGAAAAGCAACTATGTTACTCACGACGCTCTAGAAAAAAAAGAAAAAATTTTTTTTTTTTTAAATCATAATTATTACCGAGAAAGTAAAATTCATTCAAAACGAAAGTATAATAATTATTTAAAATGTTTTTTTTTTTTTTTTTCGAAAAAAAAAGGACAAAAAATATAATTATTTAATTACGATCTATAAATTATTCCAAAAGAAAGTTTTGCTATTATTATTATTATTATTAGTTTCAAGTCAATTACATAAAGTAAATAATTTTATTAATTTTTTTTTTAGATAATTTGGGTGGGAACTGCATAATTAAATGTCGACATAATAATTTAATATTAAAATTTTTTTTTTTTTTTTTTTTTTTTATGGAGTTTATAGAGCAAATGATGAATAAGATTATCGTAGGTGTAAAATTGAAAATAAATGGATTATTATTATTATTAATTTAGGTTTTTAATAATTGCCTATACCTGCATAACGAATCTTTTAAGTGAAATCCCATCGAACGAATCCCCTTCGTTGTCGTAAAATTTTAAATTGTAATGAAATATCAAGCTTGACTGCATGTGCGAGGGCATAGCTATTCTTACGGTGGCTGCACCTGAAATATAAAAATAAATTATTACTATATAAACTGTTACTTAGTCCATATTTAATAATAATAATAAAACATTTAGATCGTTGATTATGATTACCTGATTGATCAGTGTGCATAACAGCTTTCGTATTTGAATCGGGAAAGTAGAGGCCGTACCTGAAGAAAAGAGATCTCACAAAGGGTAATTCTTCGAAATCTTGGAGTGTTATCGGAGATTTTAATAGTTGCCATTCTGATTGAAGTGGGAAAAATTCGTAAATGAATTCTCTCGGATCCGTTAGAAAATAATGATCGTCGTATTCGTACCTGAAATCGAATTTAAAATTATAACTTTCCCGAAAAATTTTCCCATTTTTAAAAAAAATTATACGGAGTGTAACTGACCTTAGGCTATCGGTTTTCCCTTTGATTCCTGGTTTCGGTACTTCTTTTGCATTAACCAAATGTCTTGCACCCCAATTGCATTGCACGAACCTCCAGGCACCGGCTGCGTACACGGCATTCCATGAATTTCTAAATCTGTTGTCTTCAAATTTAACACCGGGTTGATAACCCGCCGATTTCGAATAACCTTTTATAACGACGCAGTGAAGTCCGGCGTAACTAAAAATTTTAATTACAATGGTAATTATCATGATTATTATTTTAAAATATACCTGTATTAAATATTCACCTGCAAAGTCTTTTAAATAGAACGTGGTAACTTTCCGTTCCGTGTTTGATTCCTCTTAGCAAACCCATTGGTGTGTCTCCCCTTAATGTGTCATCGAATTGCATGGTGTTTAAATTTTTAACTGTTATCCACCTGAATATTGTTCTTGCTTTTTCTATGTCCGAACCACATCTACCAACTAATTGTCGTACCAAATCCGTAAATGTTTTTTGATCGTCTTGAGCGACCTGAAAACCAGAAAAAATATCGTCATATCCTGTCGACTACCTGCTTTTTTTCTAAAAAGGATGCCTCAAGGGTTGCCGCTTACAGAAATGGCTATTTGATCGATGTCGGCAAATTCCATTGGATCGTTGTATATTTCAAATTTTGATAGAGTTGGAGGAGCGGGAATCGGTGTTTGACTCGGATACGGAAGTGCTTCTTCCATGTATCCCTCTCCTTCGTCTAAATAAAGGGATTCCGCCATCATGTATTCCGAACGTTTTTCGTTAATTAATTCCAACATTTCTTTGCTTTGTTTTTCTACTAATGCCGCTGTTGCTGCCCTACGGAAATGATAAAAAAAAAAATAAATCTTTTATTTATTTCTTCTTCTTCTTCTAATTGAAAATTCAAAATTTACCTTTCATGTTCTAATAATTTTCTCGTAAGGGATTCTTTTTTCTTGTCTCTTCTTAATGTCATGTGTTTTTCAAGGTCTTCTCTCTCCTGTTGATGCCTTAATGTTAATACTTTTTGTTCATCTGGTTTTTTTTTTTTCGTTTGTAATTCTCTTTCAAAACGATTCGTTAATCTTTCCAATTCTTTTTCCCATTCGTCCTTTAATTTAAAAATAATAATAATAATAAATAGTTTTTTTTAGGAAACGTAAGAAAAGAAAAAAAAATGTGATCCATACTCTTATTTCATCTTTAATCCTTCTATCTTCTTCTTCTCTGGCTCTTGCAAATTTCCTGTATAAATCATCTTCTTCTTTTCTATGTTTCATTTCAAGTCTTGTTTGTTCGTCTTTATCCTAAAATTATACAAAACAAACAAACGAATTAATACTAAAAAAAAATTTTTTTTTTTATGAAAATGTGTCAAATGTTTTTGTTCTTATTTCCCGACAAAAAAAAAAAAAAAACTTTCAAAGAAAACAATGGGAAATTTTTTTTTTTTTAAAAAGTACAACAAAAGGAAAACATAGGAAATATTTATTATTATTATTATTATCAAGGTACAATTGTATTTTAATATTATTGTTAATTAATGTAAGAAAACGAGGATTTAAAAATGGCTTCGATAAAGTTGATCACTCAACCGGGATAAATTTAATTTTATCTATTTTTATATAAAAAAGTGTTCCATGTTGGTAATCAGGATAAAAATCATTTTTCTTCGGTTTTTCTTTTTTCTTTTTTTTTTCTTTCTTTAATATAAACGTCTGCGTCATATTAAATAATTTAATATAATATTGTTATGATAATAATAATAATAATAAGGTTTTTTTGTGTATTATGATCCCTTCTTTAAAATTTAAAAAAAAAAAAATTTTATTTGGCAATTTAAAACTTATTATGTATTTCCCTTCTTCCTCCTTCCCATTTCCCTCCTCCTTTCCCTCCTCTTCCTCCTCCTCCTCCTTTTATTATTAATGTTACGTTAATTATTATTATTATTAATGTTTTGCTTCGAAAAAAATAAGAAAAAAAAAATATATTAAGATAATTTAATTTATTCGAGTCCTTCAGTTTTTTTTTTTTTATGAGAAAATTATTATTATGGTTTTTGTTTTCTTAGTTTATTTAAAAAAAAAAAAAAAAATGCGCAACATAATAATGATTTTTTTACGCGTTTTACTAATAATAATAATAATAATAATTTTTAAATACTACGTACGAATTTTTAAAAAAAATATGAGAGAGGAAACGTTACGAAAAAAAAAAAATTTATGTAAAAAATAAAAAGAAAAACAATTGACAAATTCCACGTGGGAAAAAAATTAACAATTATCAAATTATTATCATTATTATTATTATTATTGTATTCTGCTAAGGCGGTTACATTTTTTTTTTTTTTTTAATGTGAAAAATAAAATATTAACAAATAATAATAATAATAATAATAATTTAATTTTCGTAATAGAAAAAAAATAAAAAAAAATTAAAATTAAAAATACACGATTTTTTTTTTTTTATTTTATTTTAAATTTTTCGCGAGTGTCGAATTTTAGAAAATTAAATTCAATAATAATAATAATAATAATTCAGTTTCCCCCCAAATATTATTTACGTTCCCCTTCTCCCAACCAAAAAAAAAAAAAATAACAAAAAAAAACAAAAAATTTCCCGATTAAAAATAAATAAATAAAATTGTCATATTTGAAGATGTTTCCCCTTCCCTCCCCCCGCAAATATAAGAACATAAAAACATGAGTTCAAAAGTAATAATAATAATAATAATAATTATGTTGTTTAACTTACTCATCAGTTATTTGTAACGAAAAAAAATAAGAAAAACAATTTTCGTAAATAATTATTAAAAAAAAAAAAATCGTGATTAAAATTATTCGTAAGGATAAACATAGCATTTAAATTATGTTTAATAAAATTTATTTATTTATTTATTTATTTTGGAGTTTTTATTTCACGATTTATTCATTCATAATTATTTATTTTTGTTCACGACATTAATAACTTACATAATACGGAGAAAAAGGAAAATTTAATTTAATTTAATTAAGGGGGATTTATAGGGATTCTAGAAGGTTTGTACGAAGAAGACGTGAAATTAATAATAAAAAATATCGAATTTTTTAAAATTTCTGTTCCTGAAAATGGGGAGGGAGGGGGAAGGGGAAAGAAAATTTCATTCAACTTACCAGGTAGCAGTCGATCGGTTTTTCACGTGCTTTATTATATGCTTTTTGTAATTCAGTTGCCCTGAGGGCATGTGCAATATGTAAAGCACTAGCATCGAATCTTCCATATTTGTAACTGTGATCATCGTTTTTATTATAATCTTGTCTGTTTCCCGAATTCCCTGGACCGGAAGACGCTAAGTGACCGTTTAAATGTGACCTAATGTTTAAAGCTCCCGCATCGAATGTACCTTTTCCGCTTCCACGGATTTGCTCGTTAACAATATTACTTGACCTCGGTACATTTAATGCCGAACGAATAACGACGCTACTACCATCCAAATGACCTGGTCCTATTTTAGGCACGTGACTGCTACAGTAAACTTCCTTGTCTTCCTGACGATGTTGATTGTTGTAATATGTTTTCAACGTTAGCTTAGTACCACAAACTAAGCATTTAAAACAACCGCTGTGGAAAAATGTAAAATCTTTAAGTGGTCCGACTCTATCCACTTGATAAACCGTTTGATCACATCGGAAACAAGTACTTTCGTAAAAATTTGTTCGATACATTTTGGAACAAACAAACAAACAAACAAAGTAAAAGGTATGATTATTTATTAGTTTTCAATCGGATCACTAGACGAGCAATATGCTTTCATTTCGACCTTGTAAGGGTGATATTTATTTTGTTCAGCCATCTTGTATTATACCCCCTAAACTATTTTCCCATTTTATTTTTTTTTAAATTCAATATAATAATAAAATATCCATTAATATTTACGCACTTAAATAACCGCGAGAGTGTCCCGATGGTTACAAAAAAAAAAAAAAAAAAACTCTATCCACTTTCAATTTAAATAATAATATTAATAATAATAATTATGTCCGTTAATAAAACGATGATGAACGTAAAAAAAAAAAAAAAAAAAAAATTCGCGTTATATTTTTTGTTGTTGTTGTTGTTGTTGTTGACCACATTCACACACGGTTTTTGTTTCAAACGAAAATAAATTAAAAAAATTTTTTGGAAGCCATTTTGAATCTGTACACCACGTCACTGCGAACCTGAAAGACCTCAATAGCACATACCTCCTTCTCCTTCCATCCCCTCTTTTTTATGTTTCCACATTGTAATTCTTAAAATTGATACTCGATTGCGCTTTTTTTCATTTTTAAATTTTTTTACCTGCCCTCAATTTCACTTTGTAATTGAATGTTTTTTATTTTTCATTTCACTGATTAAATTCACATTAAAAAAAAAAACTTTAATTAATGTTTTAATAATTAAATTGAAATTTTTCTATTTCATTAAACTTTTCTTTTAACTAACTAACAATAATAATAATAAAAAAATTGACCATTTCCCCTCTCTCTCTCTCTCTCTCTCTCTCTTAGGAAAATTAATTAATTTTTTATTTATAATTATATAAATCGGAATAATTTACTCGATGATAATAATAATAATAATATAAAAAAAAAGGAAAATTTTACAACGAGCGCAAATGAAATGTATTCATCTACTACCATCCATCCATCCATCCTTGTTTAAGGACTTTTATGGCGTCACTCGACTACACCTGTCCGCCTATTCAATTCACCTCCCCACCAAAATATACACGCACACAAAAACCTTAACTATTATCAAAATTTTTATTATTTTAGAGCAAAAATATTTCTTTTTTTCTTACACGTAACCGGTACTGCCGGCAGTGGTACAAAATAATAATAATAATATTAATAATCATTATTATTTAATTAAAATTATCATTCAATTAAATTTTAAAAAAAAAAAAAAAAAGTGCGAAAATTCATATCGACAAAAATTCCAAAAATTATTATTATTATGATTATTATTATTATTATCAATTGCACATACATAAATAAATAATTTTTTACATAATCGCACACACGCACACGCACGCATTAATTTAATTTTTTTTTTATAAAATGTAATAAAACAAAAAATAAATAAAATTAATTAATTAATTCATTATTAATTTTTTTTTCGTAGATTAATAGAAAACATAATCATCATTAATAATAACAAATAATTGTAATAATAATAATAATAATAATAATAATTTTTAATAGAAAACGATTAATAAAACTTTCATACTATGCATACATTAATTAATAATAATAATAATAATAATTTTATTAAATAGAAAGTATGTGTGTAATAATTGATGTGATTTTCTTTTTTGTACGGATGATTCCTTTTTATTTCTTTATTTATTTATTTAAAAAAAAAAAAAAAAACATAAAATAAATTTTTATGTGTTGTGTTGAGGACAAGAAAAAATGTGAAATAATAAATTTCTGAAGGCGTATGACGTAATAGGTACAACTCACCCAAGACCAAAATTGGGTTGTTGAAACTTCTCGTTGAATCTAACTTATTTTTTTCTCTTTCGTTTAGTTAATAAAAAAATAAATAAATAAATTTTTATGTATTTTTTCATATATGGAAATATAAAATTAATAAATTGATATATATATATATAAATAATTATGTAATTTTTTCTTCTTTTTTTTAAAAATGAAAAACTAAATCGGGATAAAAATAATAATAATAATTAATAAGAAAATAAAATGTATTCCCGGGGGGAATTTTAATTTCCCTAAAAAATTAATTTAATTTCAAATGTTTGAGTATTATTATTATTATTATTAATAATAAAATAGAATGTGTTAAAATATTATTTAATGGCGAGAAAAATGTAATTTTTTTAAAAAAAAAATCAAAAACATTAAATTTCTTTATTTGTTGTTGTAAAGTTATACGTAACAGGATAACATCCTACAATTTTTCTCGCCATTTTGTTTTTTTTTTTTTTTTTACCACGCAAAATTTATTTAAAATTTTTTTTTTTTTTTATACAGTGAAATTTTTTTTATTTTTTTGGTCTTTATGTAAATCAACTTTCACTAACTAAAAAAAAAAAAAAAAAAAAAAAAAAACTAATAAAAAATTTTTTGTATTTAAACAGTCTATATTGAAAATAAAACATAACGTTTTTTTACTTTTAAATTTATTTAAAAACAAAAAAAAAATTGTTAGCGTCGAACTAATTTTAATTAAAATTTAAATTTCAATTTTTTTTTTTATGCTGTATTTTTTTAAACTAAATACAATCATTTATAATCTCTCTAAATATTTTTTTTTATTTTTTTAAAATAATTTTTACAACCTAATAATAAGTAATTTTTTTTTTTTTTTTTAAATCATTACAAAAATAAAATAATAATTTATAATATTTTAAGTAAATAATATCAAATAAAATTGTTTATTATTATTAAAAAAATAATTTACACGATGATTGATTTAAATAAATATTTTAAATTTAATATATAATTTCATTTAATTTTTTCTATTAATAAATAATAAAATTTTAATGGCGTTTACTCTGATTATTTAATAAAAGATTAAAAAGAATTTTTCCTTGATTCAAATTGTTAAATACCGTTTTTTTTTTTTAAACAATAATAATAATATTAAAATTTTAAATTATTCAACATTATTTAAATAACAACAAAAATATAAATTTTAAATGCAAAAGTTTTTTAAATTGTGCCATAATTATTTTTTTTTCTATTTTGAAATCGAAGCAACGTTATTTAATAATAATTCAATTTTAACAACCATTATTATTATTATTATTATTTTTAATATGAGTATAGTTAAAGATTAAATATATATATAAATTTTTTAAAAAGTATTGGTCTCTTATTAGATTTGAAAACTAATCAATTCGTTACAACAAACAAATTTATTTATTTATTTATTTACATATATAAAAGTTAGTTAAAGCAATACTGTTGCATATAAAGCAATTGATAAAATTGGGGAAGCATTAAATATACATAAATACTTTTTTTTTTTTTTTTTTTTTAAATAATAAATAATTTTCAAAATGAAAATATATTACTCAAAAAAAATTTCTTTTTAATTTTTTAAGTACAATTCAATGATTTTTCTATATATATCACTTTCATAACCCAATTACATAAATATGTATAATTTTTTTTAAATTACTAAAATAATAAAATAGTAATAAAATAAAAGTAATAAATAATAAATAAAAGTAAAAATATAAAAAATATTTCCCTGTAACCTTTTTTTTTCTCTTTAAATTTAATTTAAATTAAAACAAACAAAAAAAAAGAAAAAAGAAAAATAATCAGCAGAAGATTTTTAAACGTGGTAATAATTTTTTTAAGGTGGTAATCCTGCTAAATAAAAACTGGTCGTTATCGTTTTGTAATTTATTACAAACGAATTAAATTAATTTTTTTTTTTTTTTTTTTTACAAAGCGTTTCCCATGTTAATGCCATCATTATATGAAGAATTTTTCGTCAATTTAAATGTTGTTGCCCTAGCGATATCCGAAGCGTATACGACCTAAAAATAAATTCATTCACAAATATTCATTCACAATTTCTAAAGATAATTTTACGAAAACCAAACAAGTATTTTGATTTATTTCTGCTGATGTTAAAAAAAATAAAGTTTAAAAAAACTCACAATTAAAATGGCAACAACAGTTCCTTGAATTGATCCAGCTAAAACGTCACTCCAATGATGTTTATAATCAGATATTCTGGTAAGTGCTGTGTAAAAAGCCAAAGATAAACAAGTATATTGTAATACATGTTTGAAAAGTTTCGAACCTTTCCATGTCAATTTATATTGAAGATACATCTGTAATCGATATCAATTATGTTTAATTGAAATTTCTTTTTTTTTGTGTCATCAATGAATTATAATGAAAAACTTACAGCGAGAAATATCATACAATAAGCTGAAAAACTAGAATGACCACTCGGAAAAGATAATCTCATGTCCTTTAACAATTTTTGATTCTTTTGCTGACAGTTGAAGTTTTCAATATAAATATTTTTATATTTTGGATCAGTGCAATTAATATCTGGTCTACAAACGTCAAAGAAATGAGGTCTCAGTCTTCCGATTGTATATTTTGCAATGTCTGTGGTCAGTTGAGAACAACCAGCACCGAAACCGAAAATTCCTATGTGTCTATAACATTCCCAAATCCAATTTGGAATTTTCTTAGACATTATTTTCCTTTTTATTCTTGAATCTGATGAGTTTTGATAAGTTAGGAATTCAATAACTAATATCTAAATATAAAAAAAATAAATAAATAAATAAATAATTCTTTTCGAATGTTATGGCTAATAAAACATAAGTACTTACCACTGCTATAGGCAGACCAAGACCAACAGTATACAACATCCAACTGGGTACTGTAGAGTCCAAATAAGGATGTCTTAAAGATTCATCATCACAATAAAATCCTCTTTCATATGGTTTTCCAGCAACAAAAAAAATTAGTATCGGAATACAAACTGAAAAAAAAAAAGTTTGAAAATTCATTATGCAAATATTTTGTATAGTATATATATTTTTTTAAAATAAAAAATTTTACATTTATTTAAAAAATTTTTTAATCCACCAAAATTAATTATTAATAATAAAAATCTTTAAATGGTAACACACAATTAATGATTTCTCTGGCAGTGACATCATTAGATGCGTGAATAAAAAAAAATTATATCAGAGAATAAAATTGAAAAAAAATTTTTTTTCTTTTATTCTCAAACAAAAAAATTTAAATAAATTTCAAATTTGAATTTAATTTGAATTTACTACAACGGTAATTTTTAAAATAACTTTCTAAAATTTAAAAATATATAACAATAATTTTTAAAAATTGTGTTCCGTGTATTCAAGATATTCTATATTGCATAATAGAAAGTTTTTTAAATAGGGCGGGTTTTATTGCATTTAAAAAAAATAAGGAGGTTATGAGAGTAAATATTGTTATTCTATAGATTTTTAAATTTAATTCAATAAAGTTTTACATTAATATTTTTAAAATTTATAAATTATTTTTTTAAATCATTTTGAAATAAAAAAAATAATAATAATTTAAAAATACAAACCTGCCATAAGACAAAAAATATCAACAATTATTTTTAAAACTAAACGTTTAAAATTATATTCTGAATTCATTTTTATGATTTTTTTTTTTTTTTGTCTATAAAAAATTATCAAATATTAACAAATAATTAAAAATTATAAAACTTTTAAAAAAAATTTTTAATTAAATAAAATTCCCATATTATGTGAAGATTACATTTATCCTTCAGATAGTGAGCCACACACACTAAATTAATATATAAAAAGATTCGACATTTTGATTGCGTGCGTCATAGAAAAAATAGATGTGAAATAAAAAAAAAAACTTTTTCATATATATTTTTTATTTTTATTTTAATACGAATTCGTAAAAAAAAATTTTTTAAATTAAAACAAAACTATTGAATTCGAAATTAATAAACTGAGTTATTCTTATCATATTTTTTTGAAAATAACTGACAAAAGCCTAGAAATCACAGAGTAATTAAAAATATCGGAGGCGTTACACAAACTACGGCTAGCTACACATAATAATAATTTTCAAGTTTTGCTTACGGTAAAATTTTAAAATTATATTTAAATTTATAAAACTCATATCATCAAAATGAAGGACGTAATTGATGTTCTTCAACTGCAAAGGGAAAAAGCTAGAAGAGTTCCTCCTTTAAATTATTCAGAAAAAAGTGACAGCTACATGGGTGCTCGATTTATTTTTGAATGTGGTTAGTTATTTTTACCCTTAAATTTTAATATTTTAAAAATGTTTATTTGGATTAGTTATTTATTTCATTCATTAATTTCAAACAAATTTTATTTTTTACTTTCTCATAAGTATTTTTAATTATGCACATGTTGTATTTTGTTTTTTTCTTTTTGTTTGGTCAATCAAATTTAATATGAGGTAAAATGAGTAAAACCTTTGATTTTAAAGTTTGTTTTAAATAAATTTTTTATTTATAAACTTCAAATATTATATTTTAAAATTGATTACAAATTAAACTACAATAATGTCCAAAAAAAAAATATGTTTTAATGTTTAAAAATCTACATTCGGATGTTGATAAAATGTAAATAAAAGTAAAATCATTATTAAATTACTGTTAAAATTTAATTTCTAATATTATGTTAAGAACCATCATTGAAAATTTTGTCTTTTCAATGAGTATTTCAAATAAAATAATTATTATTAAAAGTTTTTTTTTTTCGTTTTTAGGAATAAAACTGAAGCTCAACCATTAACGATAGCTACAGCTGTTACTTTGTTTCACAGATTCTTCAAAGAAGCAGACATAAATGGATATGACAGATATGTAAGATGTTTTTATTAACAAAATACATTTTAATTCAAAAAAAAAAATTTTTTTTATCGTCTTAATAATTGAATGACATTTTTTTTTTAGTTAATCGGTGCTTCGGCTTTATATTTAGCAGGGAAAATAAAAGATGATAAAATTAAAATTAGAGATGTTATAAATGTTGCCCACAATACTTTTCATAGAGGATCTGCACCACTGGAATTAGGAGAAGAATATTGGAATATGAGGGATGCTGTTGTGCAAGCAGAGCTCTTAATTATAAGAATGCTAAAATTTGAAGTTAATGTGGTTCATCCTCATAAATACATGTGCCATTATTTAAAAACATTACATGGTAAAATCATAAAGCTTGTTATCCATAACTCATTTTGAATGTTCTAAAAACAATTTAAAAAAAGAAAAAATTTTTTTAAACAAAAATTAAATGATTTTTAGGATGGTTTACTGCGGAAGAATGGAGAAAACTTCCATTAGCAAAATCTTCGGCTGCATTCCTACAAGATTTTCATCATGATCCTGCAATTTTAGATTACAAACCTCAACATGTAGCTATAGCTGCCATTAATTTAGCACTTCAAGTAAGATTTTAAGAAATCAAAAAGGGTTTACTGTAAAATTTTTGTAATTTATTGCTAACTTTGAAAGTTTTTACTTTTATGTTATTTACTTTTAGGTATATGGTGTTCGAGTACCATTAACAGATGAAAGTGATAATAATTTATGGTACAATGTTTTTGTGTCTGATTTATCTAAAGAAAAACTTTGGGAAATAACTGAAAAAATTATGGATGTTTATGAAAAAGATGATACATATAAATAGAAAAAGAACTTTAACTATTATTACAAAGTGAGAAAAAAAAATAAAAAAACAAACCAAAAAAATTTTTTTTATTACTTACTTGTTTTTTCGACTGATGAAAAAGACATTGTTTTTTAATAGTGTCACATTACAACTGATTGAGTGTGTCATGCAACTGTTGAAGATTGTAGAGGCAACCTGAAAATATAGTTAACGTACAATTAATTTAAAAAAATTTTTTAATTTCTCAATGAAATTAGTTTTAAGTGTAAAGTTTTTTTTTTTTTTTAATATAAAGAAAAAAGTTGAATAGTGTAATTTATATTAATAAATTATGTGACTTACTTTTTTT